ATATTTAGTAAACACTGCTCAACACGAGCGACGCGACAAGTTGTGTCGCGTCGCATCCAGAGCAGGCGATCTGTTTATGTTCGGCTGCTATGTGGCTAACTAGCACAGCGGCTAACCAGCAGTTAACACACAGTAATACATAAAACAGCCGCAACAACTAACATGAACTAGCCAGAGTTTGCTTCAGAAAACTATCAATCGGTAAACAATGACAGTGGCTGGAAAAAACGTTTCACAAAATAGTGGTTTAAAAACACAACTCAGAAATGCACTTCTATGTATGCGTTTAATCGCTAAACGTTTTACCAGTTTTACACGGGTTTTATACACAGTTAAACAACAATAAGCCTCTTTGTGCATGCCTGAGAATATAAATGTGTGTATAATTATTTACCTCAACAGTTAAAAACAAGCCTGTCAGTTTCACATCTGACGGAGTTTGTTGGTATTCGACGCGTCTGCTTTCCTGTCTATACTGATGCCATTAAAATATTCATGTGTACGCGTATATTCAAGAGTTTTTGCAGATAGGGATGTTTGTCTCCAGAACGGAGTCCTGTTAAAAGGAGTTAAGCGGGCTGCGTGTCTATTTCAGGCCGGGCTTGGATTTCGAAAGATCCGCCATTTTCATCTCGTCATCAGTTCAGACATAACAGAAACAGTCGCAGGACAAGAGGAAAAAACAACAGGATTTGTTGTTTTGTCAGAGTTTGAGCTTAAAGAATGAGTTAGAAGTACAAAGGACCGTCACTGTATTCGTTTTGAGACTTAGAAATATTAATTGTTAATTTTCGTTCAAAACCCTCATAGGTTTTTCTTCACTGGAACAACATAGCATGATGGTAATCTGAATGACATCCTTGCCATTCACTCTCAATGCATATTTTTCTATTCCGTGAAAAATGACGTCATTCTTTGTAGAAGAAGAAAAGTCAGTCATGCAGGTTTTGAACAAGGGTAAAACTCATTACAATGTTCTCTTTATCTTAACGCATGCTATTATTACACTTTATATATCCTAAAGTGTACAATTACATCTATGTACACTCAAACAATTTAGTGAGAGGTGTGGTCCACAAAAGTATTTTATTTGTTAATGCTAAAGAGCAATAACTTGCATTATTTAGCGTTTATTAGCCTTAGATAATAGTCGTTTGCTTATTTAATTAGTAATGATACAGTTGGACTGATGATTACTGATGATACTAGTTCAGTTCCATTAGATGACATTTGCATTAAGGTAAAGTTGGTTTTATATTCACACATTCAGACTTTCATAAAGTTATTTTCTGCAAATTCCAAATAGTTTAACCATATTAGCAGACGATGGCTATCAGAATACAACAATGTCCACAGTCAAATAAACTAATGCTAATGTTAACGTAGTCATATTTATACGTGTACGAATATAAAACCCAACTTAACCTTGATACTTACTAATACATGTTCAAATGCAAAAGTCGTATTTGTTGACGTTACGTTAACAAAGATAAAGAAATTGCTCAAAAATATTTTGTTATCTAATATTGACAAATAAAACATTTGGCAACCGTTAAGTGTTACCAAATACATCTTAATTCATACAAAACGTATGATCTGAACTATGTAATTCCTGATGTTTTAATTAATGATACAAATAGATGTACTATTACACGCATACAAGAAATGAAAACCTCTCTATATTTACAGACATTTAATAATTTTGCTAAGCAACAGCTCTCCGCAAGACTAAAATGACAGGCGCAGCTTGCTGTCATTCTCTGGCAGGTAAAGCCTAGGGTGCTAATCAGTTAGCCACTATTAACTCCTGCAACGCATCAGCCCTTTATAAAGCTTCATATGAGTTTTGTCTATGTTGCAGAAGATGAGCAATTATTAGCAGCGATTATTCGCGAGCGCAGCTGTGTGTGTGACGCGCGGTTGAGGCAGTTCGCGGACGGACATCAGCTGACGCGCACATACACACTCACACATATATATACATACAGTGTTAGCAGCTCTGCTAACTAGCGGAGATCATATTGCCCCTCGCTGAACACCCACCCGAGCCCAAAGCACTCCTACACGGGGTCGAGATGAGTGTCGAGACGCTCTTCTGAAATCCACAACGTTTTCTGCTCGATCACGACCTGCTCGGTCCAACTCGGGGCTGCATCCTGTCGATCATCCGCTCTCAGACGAAGACGATTGTTTAAAATACCGCGCCGAGCGCCATTTCACCTCTAACATCCCATAATCAAACCACGCCTTCGTAGGAAACAACACATGACGTCACAACACAACTTCCGCGCAGATTTTTTACTGTTGTATTCTTAATATTTCATATACACAAATGCAAATTTACAAACCAGAAACTCTTCTTTTATATTTTTCCTACTGAAATGCAACATTATTTTAAGACTAATTCTAATTCTGTGACAAAAATGACGTTAAAACAACTGAAGTTTTTAAATTGTTTATTATTATCCCAGTAGTGCTTTATGAATGTAGCTCCTTTGTATATTATTGTTTTGCTTCTAACTTTATTCTTTGTATGTACCATGACTGTAATTTTTGCATTGCGCATAATTAAAAATATATATTTTTACTGATGTTCATAATTGTTATTTTTCCTGTTTATCTAAATCGTTATCTGAATTGCACAATTTTCTTAGTTATTTAAATGAATTATTTGTACATTACAAAATGTTTACAACAACAAAAGTTTACAAATTTGGGAATTGTAAGAGAACACTCTTCAAGTGTCTTTAAAGTGTTTATATTAATAATTTTAATACATATTACAATTAATTAATTTTAGAATTTTGCGTCTAAAATTAGTTTTCTAATTAACTAATTCATTTGAATTTTCATTATTCAACTCTTCAATAAAAAAGCAAAAGAATGGATTTTTACTTGGAATATTATGATAATTATTTTAGAACTGACCCAGCCGAGGCTCAAACCAGCAACTTTCTTGCTGTAAGGCGATTTTGCTACCCACTGCGCCACATATCTATTTATATATTTTTATATATTATATTATATTATATTATATTATATTATATTATATTATATTATATTATATTATATTATATTATTGTAAATTTTCTATTACACTAAAACCTGAACCACACTGTTCCAGTTACTATGACCATTTATGTGAAGCTGCTTTGACACAATCTACATTGTAAAAGCGCTATACAAATAAAGCTGAATTGAATTGAATTGAATTCATTTATTTTTTATTATTCATTCACGTTTTATTAATCTAAGGTGGCCACAGCGGAATGAATCGCCAACTTATCCAGCATATGTTTTACGCAGCAGATGCTCTTTAGCCGCAACCCAACACTGGGAAACACCCACACACTCTTGCAGTCACACCCATACACCACGACCAATTCACCCACAGAACGTATTTGGACTGTGGGGGAAACTGGAGCACCCGAAAAAAAACCCACGCCAACACGGAGAGAACATGTAAACTCCACACAAAAAATGTCAACTGACCCAGCCAAGGCTCGAACCAGCAACCTACTTGCTGTAAGGCTATTGTGCTGTCAACTGTGCCCCCGTGACACCTTTATATTATATTATATTATATTATATTATATTATATTATATTATATTATATTATATTATATTATATTATATTATATTATATTATATTATATTATATTACATATGTGTGGCTATAGTGTATGAGTGTGAACGAGTGTGTTTAGATATTTGCCAGAACTGGGTTGCAGCTGACAGGGCATCAGCTGTGTAAAACATATGCTTGGTAAGTTGGCAGTTCATTCCGCTGTGGCAACTCCTGATGAATGAAGGGACTAAGCCGAAAAAAAATTAATGAATTAATTAATTATATTATAGAGTTACTGCAGGGAAGAGTGAAGGAGGCAGATCTTTATTGATCCTTACTATATATAAAATCTCATCAGGAGGCTGTTGAGCTCAGAGTAATAATAAAATATCTGAAACTAAAAACACGAAGATGTCTGAGAAAGATTTCTTAGAGGTTCAGTTACTAAAGGTTCAGTTTTTATGTTGTCTTTAGAATATTAACTAGGTGTAATTTATTTTATCAATTATTAATTCATCATTATTCAATTAATATTACTACTAATATTATGTCTAAACCCCCCAATGGGTGTGTTGCACCTATTTGTATTGATGAATTTTAGACATTTACAATTAAAATTAATTAAATAAAATTTTGACAAACAAATTGATATAATAAATTAATTTATGTTCACATTTATGTTCACATTAATAATAATAATAAATAAAATGTTGCACACACACACACACACACACACACACACACACACACACACACACACACACATTTGATGCACAAGATTTGATTAACAAGAATTATTTATTAAAATCCCCAGTTAAATTGTATTTTATTAACACCTACCCCATTCCTAAACTCAAGCATCAAAGTGATGGTAAAACACCACGTATTACCCATATTATTCATTAAATTACCCATTAAACTGTATTTTATTAACGTCTACCCCTATCTAACCCTAAACCCAACCAATAAAGTTATGTGAAACAGTAATTATACCAAGTATTACTCATAATATTTATTAAATTACCAATTAAATTGTATTTTATTAATGTCAACACCTACCTAACCCTAAATACAAACATCAAAGTAATGTAAAAACAATAATTATATCAAGCATTATTCATAATATTTATCAAATTACCCATTGAACTGTATTTTATTAATGCCTATCCCCCCTAACCCTAAACTCAATCAATAAAGTTATGTAAAACAGTAATTATACCATTATAATGTAAAAAACTGTCATTATACCAATTATTACTCATAATATTTATTAAATTACCCATTGAATTGTATTTTATTAATGCCCATCTCACAGTTATGTAAAATATTAATTAGTGTCACAAAAATGATGCTATCCGCAGCTGTATCCCACATAGACTTTACCGCCCTCTAGTGTGTTGTTCAGTTGTCGTCGGTTCTCTGTGTTGTGTGGCGCCCTCTGCTGGCCCGCAGGTTTCGCTGTTTAAGTGCGGAGGAAAATGGCGTCCGGCGTGAGGCAGGAGCTCGCACAGCTGATGAACTCTAGTGGCTCTCATAAAGATCTAGCTGGGAAGTATGTGGTTTCAAGTCATTTGCTAATATCGTTACTGTATGTCTTTTGCATTTGGGTGTTATTGTGTGATTTTCTATATAAAGGTCTGTGATACTGCAAATGATATGACTACAGGCTAACATTAGCAAGCGTGTGTAATACTGAGGATCTACCTGTCAACATGCCTACATCAATAACAATCATACAAGTTATAAATAGTAAAAGCTATTAGAATCATTAGCATATTTGTATGCAAATGTCTTTGTGAATTGACTAATATAATTTGAAAACGATAGGAGGAGTACGTTAATGCAAATACAGTTAGCCTACAGAATTTAAGACCCCATTAAATCAAATCGTTTGGTTCAGTAATTTTGGTTTGAGATATTGTATATCCAAACGTAGACCTAAAAGTTGACAATATAGTTGTCATTTGACAATGACATTTGAAAAAAAACCGTTTGTTTTTTAAAACCAAAATACTGATGACTCATCTTGCATTTAGGGGCGTGTCTACGTTTTTGTCCAATCAAATTTTATAGGATGAACAAGCCTTACCCTCAGCATTATTAAAATGTGTGTCTGAATATGTAGACTTTTATATTAGGCGAAAAGAAAAAGTTGAATAGACAGTAATAGTTCATTGTATTTAAAAAAAAACAGTAGGGGAGAGCAGGAATAAAAGAAACGTGGGACAAAAGTAACAAAGTGATTTTCTCGAAGCCCTGAAAACATTTGATTTACAGGCTATAACAACACATTTAGCAGCATGCAACCCTTAATGAAACTGCTAAATATACAATTTTGGGGCCGTGTCCTGCAATGAGCTCTAAATTTCTGTTTGAAAGTGCAAAATGTAAATTATTGTAGTGGTTTGTTGTATTTCTCTTTTCATGCATCACCGTAATGATCAATCTGCAGGTTCTTTAGTGCAATAACAATTCCTTGATTTTGAAATGTCTGAGTTTTGCAGTTTAAAAGGTAAATTAGGTTTACTGTAGGGATGAAAGTAACACTGTTATTTATGTCCCTCTGCACTTTTTCACTTCCATATTAGTTTTCAGTGTTTTGACTCTTGACTGTTTTATAAGATTAATGCAGATTGCCAATAATAATAATAAAATATTCAAAAATTTTAAGAAAATATAACATTTTGCATTGTTTGATTGCTTTTGAAACATTTTATGGAAGTAAAATTAAAAATTAAGGTGCAGTTTAATATTTTTTTTGCAAAAATAAAGGACAAAATATGCCTGCAGTTAACATTAACAAGGTCAAAGTCAGATACAGTGGTGGAATGAGTACTGAAAAATCAAAAGTACATATTTTTTAAATTACTTGGTAAATTACAATTTCTGAGAAAAGTTACTCACAGTAATTTGAGTATTGGTGATTTGTTACTTTACACCACTGGTCAGATATATTTAAAATAAACACGATTAAGCCGGTAAATCTAGCAAATATTGTTGTGTTACTTTTGACTCACCTGTGAGTTTTTTTTCGTTCCTGTCAAAAGTAGCTGTGCAACTTTTGTGTAAAGTGACGTTATATTGGTGTTGTTCTACATTATACAAAATAACACCTGATTTTGATTGATCACTCTTATGAGTTGGTAACCTCAGCAAAATATATATTTCCGCTAAAAACATTATCTTTTTAGAGTTAGGTTTATATGCAAAATGTTACTTTCATCCCCGCTGTCCCCTATGCAAAAAGGACCAGAATAACATGCTTTGTATGCTGAGATTCTGAGGTGTGTGTCGAATCAAAACTTTTCTGTCTCACTAGGCCACAGGAGAGGATTTGTGAATAGTAGTGGAGCGACACAAGTCACACAGCCCATATGAAATTGATCATGACTATATTATAGTAAAAGTGTATTAAGCATTTTTTTGGTACACTGATGATTAGCATTTGTATAAACAAGACTTAACCACAAATAAACACCAGGAATAGATTTAAATTGGTGTCAAAATCCATAGTTGATTTGTGGTTACTGTGGTTTGCTTAAATAATGATGATTTACATATATTCTGAAGATGAAGTTCAAGTTTAGGTCATATGACCGTGGCAACATTGTGAATGGGGATGTAGAACTGTTGATTGACAGCCACTAAGAATTCACCTTAACAAGCATTTAAAGCTGCATTTGATATATTTATCACTTTATACAGTACAATATAAATCCAGTCATCATTATCATCCAGTAATGTCAACACAAGTATAGTATAATTTTTGTAGCTATAATCTTTGTCCTCCCTGTTTTCACAGATATCGTCAAATATTAGAAAAGGCTCTACAGTTTACTGATGCAGAACAACTTGAAGCACTGAAAGCATTTGTTGAAGCGAGTAAGTATACTAGTATTCAAGTACTAATATTCTGATTATAAACATTCACTTGCCTCTTTACTAATTACACCTTGCTGTTACTGGTTAGACCCATTTTGATTTCAGAACTGCTCGTTCTCATGGCTTAGAATAGTTTTAGCAAGGATCTCATATTATTTCTCAGAATTTTTGGTCCATATTTACAGGACTGTATCACACAGATGATGCTGACTTGCTGCCTGCATGTTCATTATGTAAATCTCTGTTGAGATTTGAAGGTTTTGTTTAATTTACAATAAATGGACTGAAATGCTGAAAACGGAGATGTGGCTATCAACAATCGATCTCTGACTGGTCTTCTACTCTACTGCGTATCATTCCCTATTATATGCCTAATACGCAACTGGTGTACAACAAGAATTAATGCTGGCTAAATATGTGCATGCCCAGTGATTTTGAACTGTCACGCTCTGACACCCAGTAAAAACATCAGTCTGGGTGAGGGGGGTTTTCTCTCTAAAAAAAGCCTTAAAGTCACTTTAATCGGTTTTCTTCTTTATTCTGACGCTTTGTTTGAACTTCAGCAGATCATCTTTATTAAATCTACATTGAGTGATGTACTGCCATATGATTGGCTGATTAAATTTCTGCAAAAGCAAGCAGATGAACAGGTGCTCATAACAAAAGGGCCATTGAGTGAATATTGAAGAAAATCAGTTATAAATGAGAACGTTTAGTTTGTGTGGCTCTTTTATGGCGTTTTAGTCTCTACAATGACTTATTTCATAATTTCCCTTGTCTCTTGAATAGTGGTCAATGAGAATGTCAGCCTGGTCATATCCAGACAGCTTCTGACAGACTTCTGCGCGCACCTTCCAAATCTTCCAGACGACATAGCGAAAGTTGTGTGTCACTTCACCCTGGAGAAGATCCAGCCCAGAGTCATCTCTTTTGAAGAACAGGTGGGTTTCAGCCCTCTACAATGCAAACAAATTACTCACATGTGGAACCAAATTTGATGCTTCTGCAACTAAATAATTAAATAATGGCTATTTTTGCCACTGGTGGGAAAACTGTCTGATTTATTCTCCTCAGCCATTGAAACCTAGAATAAATTCACTGCAGGTAGATTGTCCTACGGTGGCTGAAAGACCTCAAAGATGATGAAAGTTAAGAAAACACATACAAATAGAAGAACACATACAAACTGCGAAAACATCTTCATTGGTTTGACAATACACATGATGCAAATAGTGCCAATCACAATAGAAATGTGTCTGGGATCCCAAAAAGTTATGATCCCAGATTTCTGACAACACCTGTGACTAGTCAGGATGTACTCGTCACTATTTTATTTCCATTGTGATTGGTACTATTTGCAGCATGTTTCTGTATTTGCACGTGTTGTAATAATTTGCATGCACATGTTTTGTTTATGAGGATGTTTTCTTATGGCCCGTTTCCACTGAGGGGTATGCTAAGGGACACCTTTATCAGGCTTGCGTTTCCACTGCCAAAAGGGTACCAATGGTACCTTTTTGGTATGTGTGGTGTACGACAGAAAGTTACAGTCGACGTCTCACTCTTTCAGGTGGCATCCATCAGACAGCATTTAGCCACAATCTATGAGAAGCAGGAGGACTGGAGGAACGCTGCACAGGTTCTTGTGGGGATCCCACTGGAGACGGGTCAAAAGTAAGCTTGCTTTTCTCTTGGATTAAACCAATGCAGCCAACATGTCGCCCAGTACTGCTGGTCGTGAGTTTGGATTTTCTAATCATGTTTTTCTGCTTCTACAGACAGTATAATGTGGACTACAAATTAGACACTTACCTGAAAATTGCTCGTCTGTATTTGGAGGATGACGACCCGGTTCAGGCCGAGGCCTACATCAACCGAGCGTCTTTATTGCAGAATGAATCCACCAATGAACAGTTGCAGATTCACTACAAGGTGATCTTTCAGCTCTGTCTTTTTATAATATGCTATGTATACTGTACTGCCGGGCAGTAGTTCCAAAATAGACATTTCTGATTTTGGTGTGACTTTTTTGTGAAACAATTTATTTGAGCAGTTGCTTTTCTGAGTTCTGTTCAAATTTTTTATGTGCGTTATACAGTATTTATTGTGATAAGTCTTATTACCATTTACAGTTATAAATAATTCTTTATTTTTTGCATCCTTTCAACATATAATATACAACTTCATGTATTTTTAATGTGTTTTTATTTAATAAAAATATGTAAATATGAATGTAGTAATACAAATATAAGTTTGTTCATATTTATGACTGGATGTAGTTTTGGGGTTTTACTAATACACAAAGAAAACGGTCAATTTGTTTCATTTTTGCCATTGCATTCTGTGTTTATATACAGTTGAAGTCAGAATTATTAGCCCCCCTGTTTATTTTTTCCCCAATTTCTGTTTTAACAGAGAGAAGATTTTTTTTCAAAACATTTCTAAACATAATAGTTTTAATAACTCATTTCTAATAACTGATTTATTTTATCTTTGCCATGATGACAGTAAATAATATTTTGCTAGATATTTTTCAAGCTTAAAGTGACATTTAAAGGCTTAACTAGGTTAATTAGGTTAACTAGGCAAGTAAGGGGTAATTAGGCAAGTTATTGCATAATGATGGTTTGTTCTGTAGACTATGTAAAATATATAGCTTAAAGGGACTAATAATTTGTCCTTAAAATTGTTAAAAAAATTAAAAACTGCTTTTATTTTAGCCAAAATAAAACAAATAAGAATTTTAATAGAAGAAAAAATGCATACTGTGAAAATGTTCTTGCTGTTCTTTTGTTAAATGCCCATTAAGTTTCAGTATAATTATTAATTTCATGGGTTATTTTGTAATTGTATGCTTAGGTTAATGTTTTGTGAAACATTTTAGGGCCACCCGTGTACACCCATGAATTTAAAACTTTTAATAACTTTCAGTTGTTTCTGTCAGATGTTTTTGTAAAGTTAAAATAAACTTTAAGCATAAAATGTTCTTGTGAATCATAATTGTTTTCGTAAAAGATTTCAGAGAATAATTTTAGACAATGCATTTTTAATGAATTAGGCCCACTGTATCCAAATATGCAAATAGTGTAATATGTTGCCTACTTTACCCTTGTTGTAAAACCGTAAATATATATTTCATCATGTTTTGCAGGTCTGCTACGCCAGAGTTCTGGATTATCGAAGGAAATTCATCGAAGCAGCTCAACGCTACAATGAGCTCTCATACAAATCCATCGTGCATGAAACTGAGCGTCTAGAGGCTCTAAAACATGCACTTCACTGCACTATACTGGCCTCTGCAGGTACAGCACTATACAGGATACAGCAGCTGCTGGTGTGATTTCAATCTTTTCTAAATTGTCTAAAATCATTTAGTACTTGTATGTAGGCCACAATTTTATAATAACAATTAGCCACATTTAGTTACTTGCATGCATTTTATCTCTTGAACTGTGAATGGAGATGTTTCGCAAATGTAGTGTAAACACCAGTATAAACGAGGATCATTTTCAGAAAAGAAAAACAAAACAAAACAAAACACTGTGTTAAATCAAGTGACTAGTAAAAACCAGTGTAAAGAATCTGTTTGGATTGCCTAATTAGTTTTTAGAGCTAGTAGACCCAAAAATAAAAACTTCCACACTATTTGCTCAACTCAAATTTCACACAAAACAAGATATTCTGACATTTATAGTAGGAACAGAAAAAACAAAACTATAAAAGTCAATGGCAGTTGTTTCCAACATTCTTCCCTTGTGTTCAACAGAAGAAAGAATCTCAAACAGGTTTGAAGGATGATTAAATGATGACAGATTGTTCAGTTTTGAGTGAAACTATTAATGTGTTCTTAAGGTCAGCAGCGCTCTCGTATGTTGGCTACTCTCTTCAAGGATGAACGATGTCAGCAGCTCGCCGCCTACGGCATCCTAGAGAAAATGTACCTGGATCGAATCATCCGAGGAAACCAACTGCAAGAGTTTGCTGCCATGCTGATGCCACATCAGAAAGCCACCACAGCCGATGGTATTAGATATTACTCCTTAGCCATGGTGTAACTTGGAAGTGGGGGCACACAAAATGGAGGAACAGGTTTTCGATTTAAATGTCATTTCCAGCATTTACATACATATAGAAACTGTGTTGATGCATAATACATGAGAAAATTAGGTTAAGCTAATTTTGTTAAACTAAAAATAAATAAAAAATATGGACTATTTGTGCTTGATCACTATTTTGTAATATTAATTGCATATACAGTTGAAGTCAGAATTATTAGCCCCCCTTTGATTTTTTTTTTCTTTTTTAAATATTTCCTAAATGATGTTTAACAGAGCAAGAAAAATGTCTGATAATATATATATATATATATTTTTTCTGGAGAAAGTCTTATTTGTTTTATTTAATCTAGAATAAAAGCAGTTTTAATTTTTTTAAACCTATTTTAAGGACAAAATTATTAGCCCCTTTAAGTAATTTTTTTGACAGTCTACAGAGCAAACCACTGTTATACAATTGCCTAATTACTTTAACCTGCCTAGTTTAATTAACCTAGTTAAGCCTTTAAATGTCACTGTCAGCTGTATAGAAGTGTCTTAAAAATATCTAGTCAAATATTATTTACTGTCATCATGGCAAAGATATAAATCATATAAATAAATCAGTTATTAGAAATTAGTTATTAAAAATATTATGTTTACAAATGTGTTGAAAAAAAATCTGCTCTCTGATAAACAGAAATTGGGGAAAAAATAAACAGGGGTGCGAATAATTCAGGAGGGCTAATAATTATGACTTCAACTGTAGGTAGCAGCAACATTAATATGTAGACGAATTATGTGAAAATGTTAAGATATTTCCATTTCTAATGCTAACATTCTGTGCAGCAAAAATTCCTAAACATCAGGCTGACATTAACAGGTGTAGACATTCTGTCTGACGGAAAATGTGATTGTCCCGACCTGAACTAATCTACCGAATCAACTAACTTGTCTTTCTTTTTTTCATCCATGTCAACATTAAAGTAATCTGTTGCTGATGGCCGTTACATTGCTGTCATCGCTGACTGAAACGATTGTTTCAACCACAACGCCTGCTCATTAGAACTTTCACAGACTTATTTTTTTAGCATAGACGCAAAGTTCTCGATGTCCTACTCACGGTTCTTTAGTGTTTATTTCTAAATGATTTGTTAGGAAATACAATGTCTAATATGTTTTTTATCCTTACAGGTTCAAGTATTCTAGACCGAGCCGTTATTGAGCACAACCTGCTGTCTGCAAGCAAACTGTACAATAATATCACGTTTGAAGAGCTTGGAGCACTTTTGGAGATTCCTCCTGCAAAGGTACAGTGCATTTACTATTACTTCTGTTATCGTTTTATATTTTACTTTGCCATTCAAAAGTGTTGGCATTTTCTGTGACTGAACCCACTTTTGCGCAACAATGTTGTATGAAAGAGATAGTTAAGCAAAAAATGAAAAGTTTGTGTTCATTTCTTAACTCTTCATTTTGAGTTTTTTTGAGGTTTACAAAAAAATACGATATCTTGAAGAATGCTGGTAACTGGCATGCAACGTTTTTCCCTACTATGGAAAAAAGTAGGGAAAGTAGTGGGTGCTGCACACAACATTCTTCAAAATATCTTCTTTTGTGTTTAACAGAAGACATAAACTCAAACAGGTTTAAAACCACGAGGGAGAGAAAAAATGAGATTTTAATTTAATGCAATTAAAATGTGTGTGTGGAATGCACATAGAAAGGTAATTAGGAATTGTCATTACAATTTTACTGTGATTATATGTAATTTATTTCTCTGATAACAAAGACACATTTTTAGTATCATCAATCCAGTCTTCACTCTTCAGGACCACAAGATATTTCAGAAATTAATCTAATTAAATGTCACTTATTAAACATTTATAATTATTATTATTGTTTTTATAATTTACGACTAACAACGTTTGCATGGGTGTCCTAAAGTAAATGTAACATCAGTGTTTACAAGCTGTTTTATTGACATCTGTCAGCTTTTGAGAAATCTGATTGCTGGTTGAGAATCACATTAGCCAATATATATATATATATATATATATATATATATATATATATATATATATATATATATATATATATATATATATATATATATATATATATATATATATATATATATATTAACAAATCTTCTGATGTCCTTTAGGTGTATTCATTGTTATAACTAGTAGCAGAACATACTACTGATGATTTAAAAAAAAAAAAAAAAAAAAAATATATATATATATATATATATATATATATATATATATATATACAAATAACTAGATCTGTGTTGCTGATTAAACTGATGCAGCTTCAATCATAATCTGTCACAAAGCATATTAAGCATAAAATTAAATTTATTCTTATAATTTTATGAAAAAAATCTATATTGGCAACAGTCTGACTCCAGCAGAATGTCTTTCCAGTCAGAGGCCTGAATACTTTTAATTGAAAATTTATTTTTAGACACTTAATAAAATTTATTTTTAGACACCTTAAACCACTATTAAAATGGTTTATCAAATTATTAAAACAATTGATTTGTTTCCGAAAGATATATACTTTTTTAAAATATGAAATGAAAAATATAGTATAAATATAATCTAAATGTTTATACAGACATTTTAAGGTTGTTAAATGTTTCTAGCACATTAAAAAAAAAAAAAAAAAACGCTTCAGATTTTACCTTGATATCTCTTTTTTTACAGGCAGAAAAGATAGCATCACAAATGATCACCGAGGGCCGCATGAACGGATTCATTGACCAGATTGATGGCATTGTGCATTTTGAAAGTAAGTTTGGATTTTATCTAAAGATTAGGGATGTAACGCTTCATTGAACTCATTGAAATTATATAACAAAACTAAACTGAATCTTTAAAACAAACCCCAAATCAAATAAGTAGCTTACACAAATAAAAGAGTTCTCTTTATTCAAACTAAGTAAGGCCAGGTTTCTTTCATTTTTCAAAGTCAAATTTACTTTTCAGTCCATTTCCAGATGCATTTTCAAACTTTTTCAGCACTGGCAGTTGTAGTAAATTACATATTTGCATACATATACCGTACATACTTCACACTACATTATAGCAGTGCTTCCCACAGGTTTGAAATGTACTTGCGGTGGTAGCTGGTTTGAAACACACTTTTTAACCACAGCACATAAATGTTCAACTACTTGTGAAAACCACAAAAAAATGTGTTTTTATTGTTTTTGTTTTAAGTTCGGGTAGCTTTATTGGCATCAGATTTAGATATGTAGGCTGTAAAATATGTAATATATTAACATAATTTAATAAAATACAGAGTAAATGAGAAATAAATTACAGAAGAAATAATAAAAATAGACAATATCTCTAAAAATTATAATAATTACGAAAGTTATAAAAAGTGTAGATTATTTAAATAAAGCAAACTGATTGAATTGTGTACAAATATTTTGTGTCAGATGTCATTTAGTTCTCTCTGAGTACATAGTAAAGGTCAAAGAATGTATTTTAATGTTTCTCCCGCTCTGTGCATGTCCAAGCAAAGCGAAGCCAAGTGAAAGTAAATAAAAAAGTAATGCAAAAAACACTTACAATTGACAACAACTTTAGAAAGTGTAAGCAAAAGCTGAATCCTGGACATTTTAGGTCAAGATCAAGGTAAAATTTATTGTCTCCCTTAGAAGAAATTTGTTTTAGAAAAAAAGGTTCTGTTGTACATAGACACTAACAAGAGAACATATAACATAGATACACATTAGAAATCTAATCCTCAAATACCTCCTAATATAAATATGATTCCATAAAATCAATAATTAAAATAATTAAATAAAAATAAAATTCAATGTGCCTCCACCGCTCTCTGTTATGCCAACCAATCCAGTTATGTTAATCTTTGACTATCGTACTCTCTCATTGATCAATTTAAATGAAAAAGGAACAAAAGAATGTTTATATCTATTATACTTGCATAACAGGACCCTGTATCATCAGCTCATACTCCAAAGACAGCACATGTGAAGAATCACATGAAGTCTTGTTGGCTTGTTGGATTGTGCACAACTCAGAGATGTCTTTTTGTGAACCGATTGTCTTAATTCCCATAATTTTTTCTGCCACTCTCATTGGGTTATTTACTTGGGTTTTCATTTTCACTGTCAGATTTCCAAACCAAACAATAATTCCATATCTTATAGACTCTATTGTTGCTTTATAAAAAGTTAGCATTATGCTGCAACTCTCTCTGAATTATCTTAGTCTACGTAAAAAGTGTAATCGCTGATGAATTCTTGCCCAAAGTCTTGACACCTGAGAGTGCCAGTTGAGCTCATTCAATATTCACCTCTAAATATTTAAAAGAATCAACCTGGTTTTGTCTATCATAAACCGCAACAGAGCTCCTATCGCTCATTGAGCAGGGGTCTATGATGACCTTTGTTTTCTTAACGTTAATCTCCAAATAGTGGTCATTACACCAGCTGACAAACCATTCTACAGCTGCTCTATATTCCATGATGCTGGCATCTTTTGTGCAAAGGTGGAATAGCACAGTCATTAAAAAAAATTAAGAATATATTGATTTGCCTGCTGACACAGTGATTTGTATAAAGGGTGAACAAAAATGGTGAATTTACACACCCTTGTGGCGCCTCTGTACTGCTTGTTGCTATGTCAGAGAACCCTGAATTAAATTTCACTTGTTGTCCTGTCTGTTATAAAAGATTAAAACCATTTGGAGATTTAAAAACCTTGGTTGGATGCATTTTTAAGTCTCAAAAATGCACATCTCTGGGTCTGCAGAACATGTGAGACTGTGAGACATGTGTCTGTGGGAGTGTTTACAGTTCTCTCGTGTGCACAGAACCAGCAGTACAAAACGTATAAACGAGAAGATTTTCCCCTGGTCAATCTTGCAGATGTAAAAAAGTGTAAAGTGTAAAGATGATAATAATGTTAAAAACATGTCACCAAGTATAGCCGTTAATATCCCTGGTTGGCCTGCCCCAGTAAAGTCTATGTGTGAGAAGCATTCTGTGTAGTATTCTTTAGTACTCTTGTATACTATTCTAAGGAAAACAAATATGGCATGTTTGCACCAAGCCCAACATTAAAATACTGTCATTTACTCACATTTTATTTTCATTTTATGCAGAAGCAAAAATATTTATTTATTTAAATAGTTGCATAGCACTACCTATGTAGTAACAAATTTTTATGAAAGCAACACAATTACATTTTCAAGCTGTTTCAAGCACTTTATCCAAAATCTAAGCACTTTTAAAACCTTGAAATCACTAGATCAAGATCAAAATACAAGCATTTTCAAGGATTTCCAGTAAGAATCATGTTGAATGGATTTTCAAATGGTTTGTTTTTCATTGTTGTAACCCTATTGAACATGATGGATAAAAACTGAATAAATATGAGCATTACAACATACGACCCTCTTGTTTCCATCAGCACGAGAGCCGTTGCCCACCTGGGACAAGCAGATTCAGTCGCTGTGCTTCCAGGTCAACAACCTCTTAGAGAAGATCAGTCAGACCGCACCAGAGTGGACAGCACAGGCCATCGAGGCCCAGATGTCCCAATAAACCTTATTCATGCTCTTTTTGTCTACAAACTTCAATTCTTTGCTTTCTCTGCTCTCATTGGTCAAAACTGAAACGACTCTGAATTGAATTTAAGCCAGCACATATTGATGTTCTGTTGAAGGGATAGTTTAGCCAAAATGTAAATTTTGTCATCATTTATTCATTCTCCAAACCTCTTAGAGTTTTTGTCTTGTGTTGAACACAAAGGAAGATATTTTGAACAATGTTGGGAAAAAAAACAGGAACTTGCATAGCTGTTTTGTTTTTACTATAAATGTGAATGATTGCTTTTTCCAACATTCTTCAGAATATGTTGTTTTGTGAGAGGGAAAAAGAGCAAAAAAGCATAAATAGAACTACTTGAATGTGAATAAATGATGAGAAAATGTTCGCTTTTGGATTAATTATTTCTTTTAAGTTTTACTTTTTTGTTTGTGAATTTAATATTTTCATAGTTATGGTCTTTGAGTATTAGATGCTGAATAAACATCTGGAAAAAAGTCTTAGTTTCTAAATTTTGTTTTATTATATTTTGGGTTTTACAACCCTGTGTCTCATCCATCACCCTTTGCATCATTCATTCGTTTTTAAAGTTAGACATCAACCTCCTTAGTATTACACTATTTATTATCAACATGAACATTATATTTTAATTTAAACCAACCAAAAATATAAAGTTAGGCCATAAATATTTGGACATCAACATAATTCTAATATTTTTAACTCTATGCACCAGCACAATGGAATTGAAATGAAACAAAGAGGATTAAAGTGCTTTAACTGCAGACTGTCAGCTTTAATTTGAGGGTATTTATATCCAAATCAGGAGAATGGTGTAGGAATAACAACAGTTTGCAAATCTGCCTCCCACTTGTTAAGAGGCCAAAAGTAATTGGACAACTGGCTTATAAGCAGAAAATCAGCAGATAAAAGGTTCAGAGTTCATTTCAAGTTTGCTATTTGCATTTGGAGTTTGTTACTGTTAATTCTCAGGATGAGATCCAAACAGCTGTCACTATTAGTCAAGCAAGCCATCATTAGGCTGAAAAAACAAAACAAACCCATCAGAGAAATAGCAAAAACATCAGGCGTGGCCAAAACAACTATTTGGAACATTCTTAAAAAGGAAGAACGCACCAGTGAGCTTAGCAATACCAAAAGACCTAGAACACCATGGAAACAACTGTGGTGGATGACTAAAGAATTCTTTCCCTAGTGAAGAAAACACCCTTCACAAGATCAAGAACTCTCTCTAGGAGGTAGGTGTATGTGTCAGAGTCAACAATCAAGAGAAGACTACACGAGTGAATACAGAGGGTTCACCACAAGATGTAAACCGCTGAGCCTCAAAACCAGGAAGGCCAATTTATACTGTAGTTCTAAAAAAGCCTCCACATGGCTGGAACAACATCCTTTGGACAGTTGAAACAAGATCAGCTTGTACCAGAGTAATGGGAAGTAAAGAGTATGGAGAAGGAAAGGAACTGCTCATGATCCTAAGCAGTAAAGCATGATGGTAGTAGTGGCATGTAGTGGCCATGTATGGCTTTTAATGGAACTGGTTCTCTTGTGTTTATTGATGATGTGACTGCTGACAAAAGCAGCAGTATGAATTCTGAAGTGTTTCAGGGAATATTTTCTGCTCATATTAAAGGGTATCTATAATGAAAAATCAACTTTTCAAGGTGTTTGGACAGACGTGTGTAGGTACAGTGAATAGACCGTCATATTGGGGTAATGTAAACACACAGTCCTTTTTTTTACAATTTAACAACATAAAAATGGTGGACCAATTGGATCGGTTTTCAGAGCGACCGCAACTTGACGTAGGAGTGCAGTGCCCCCACCCACCAATATTGATTGACAGGCGCATCACCATATCCTTAGTTTGTTGTTTCACGTCCGCCATTTTCCGCATGTAAGTCAAAGCGGCATCTCTAAAGGAACATTCTTGCTTATTTTTAGATGTAAGGCTCATTGGGCTCAACACAAGATCAATATTCTCCACAATATCACTCTAATCTGAATTATTGTTTGTACCTTTAGGTAGGTTTGCAAACGTGTACTTTTCATTGCGTCTACCTTCAACTTCAGCCATTTGCATTTCGCGCAATTACAGAAGCTTCCTGTCATCTTAACTAGATGCAGCTGGAAAAGTGCAATCGCGTTGCCTCGTGCACGTCTCTCCAATGGAAATAAAATAATGAACTTACCTGCAGGTCGCATACCAGAAGCGCCGAGCGTCGCGCCATGCAGCACCATGCATTTTAGAATTCTAAACGAAGGTTTCTAACAGGGTACACACAACGGCGCTTCAAGTCGTCGGCGGTTCGCCGCGGACAGCCATCGACTTCAAGCGCTGTTGTGAGTACCCTGATCGAAACCTATGTTCTAAAATGTGTGACGCGACTTCATGTTTCTGCGTCTCGGTGTACAAGCTTGGCACTTGAAACTAGTACACTGTTGGCTGTAAAACTATACAAAGACACAAATGATTTTGTACTCTCTGCTTGGTCTGTGTCCGAGTCGTACATGTACGGCTGAATGCTGATCCTCTCACTCATGTAGCTTAGCTTTTCTTTGCCTGCCTGTCTGTTGCAAACACAGAGCGTGGAAGCTCTTGTCTCTGCCCCTTTGTTACGTTGGACGGGAAGCTAAAACTAATTTTCATGCGAAGCAACACACCCCTAAAACAGCGAGCTTTGTACGCGCCCCCCAAATGACACAAATTTTAACACATTGTAATAAAAACATCTGAACTGTGTGTTGTACTGAACCTAAACTGGCACACTCAGAAGAACCATAATATTAATAGAGTTATTTTAAGGTAAAGAAGTGAAATGTTATGCAATGGCCAAGTCAATCACCTGATCTAAATCTGATTGAGCTTACAGTTGAGGACAGTTGCAGAGGTCTGGCAGAGCACCAACAGGAAAAAAAAAAAAAACTCAGCATCCAGTGATGTCTATGCATTCCAGACTTCAAGCTGTAATTAACTGCAAAGGATTTGCAACCAAGTATTATGATTATCATAGTATTATGACTATGATTATGATTATCAAATTATACCAATTACTTTTGGCCCCTTAACAAGTTGGATGCACATATGCAAACTGTTGTAATTCCTACACTGTTCACCTGATTTAGATGTAAATGCCCTGAACTTAAAGCTGACAATCTACAGTTATAGCACATCTTGTTTGTTTTATTTCAAAAATGTTAGAATTGTGTTGTGTCCAAATATTTATGAACCTAATTGTATATATAAAAATAAAGTTTTGTGAATCTATCTGTGGTCTCATAATGGATTTATATTAACAAATATACAAACAACATAACAAGCATATTTTTAGAGTGACTGATGGATTTTCATTTGTTTTGTTCCCTAAATTACTGGTAACCTCAAAAAATGCAAAGGCTTTCATAATAATGTTATAGTTCATATACTTCCTACTGTGATGTTTTCAGGATTTAACACAAAGGCTGTAAGGACATTGTGAGCTTTCAACAGCTCTGATAAATTAAGTGATATGCTGCCTGTGTTCAATTTTATTGAGGGGAGTTAATGATATGTCTGAATCATAAAATGGCGCCTATGGCTGGAAGGGTTTAATTTTTGATTTACGGAAATTGTTGTCATTGAAATCAATGAGATCATGAATGTTGCAAGATGGAATTGGAAATGTAATTTAAAACATCAGAATTGAACACTATGCAGTGGCGGAAAAAAGTATTGAACATCTCACCATTTTTCTGAGAAAACATATTTCTAATGGTGCCGTTGACTTGGGATTGTATTGTTTGGGTTTCTACCAAAATCTGGTTCAGTTCCATGTCAAGAGCTCCTTTAGAAATATTATTCCCAGGAAAAACATGACATGTTCAATACTTTAATTCCCTACTGTATATAATGGTTTTCCACATAGAATCAATGAGCTTATGCTAAATCATCTCTTCAAAAAAAAAAAAAAAAGCACATTTTTAAATTTCTGTTTTATTTTTTGCATTGGAAGACTTTATAGCTAGTAACTTTACTACATTTACAAATGATAAAAAAGCATATTTACAAAGTAATGTTGTTATAAATAAATGACTACCAAGAACCTGACATTCATTGACATGATGCAAATTAGTAATAAATTAATTGCAAGAACACAGCAACCAACATGTTAATTAGCTCTCTACATTATTGCACCTATATCATAAAATACAGCTGGATGTTATGAGAAACATGATGTCTGTTATCAGTCTAATACCAACAGCCTGTACTTTCATACTGAATGAAGCCATAAAGTTTGATTAGCGTATCTATTTGCTTATACCACATCTTAGTCTTTAGATATTAGACACTAGTGTATTGTAGATAGACTGCTTAAAAGCATTTTTCTCTGTTGCCTTTAAAAAGCAGACCAACTCTGTTCACTGCTTTTGAATCTTTGAAAAAAGTTTTCTCAGAACTGTCCTAAGCGCTTCCTAATTTCGATGTCTCTCTTCAACTGGCAGGCTGCACAAGGCATGCAGTTGTAAACGATACAAAAGTCAGTACACATCGAACCCTGGAAAACAAAAACAAAAAATATAAATTATTTTGAGACAGACAGATTTAAATCAGGATTACAAATTGATCCTTTTTATGTAAATTGTGTAGAGATTATTACTATTGCTAATAAAACAGTATCGATATTAGATTTATAAGCAATAAATGGTATCGGCCAGTAAAAGGAATAATCTGTGCTGACCAATTTAAGCAAAAATCTGTGTCAGATGATAAAAGCACAATGAGTATTGGCAAGTATTGACTAATAAAAGCAATAATCGGTATTCAACGATAAATGCAATAAATGATATTTATTAGTATTAATCTTACTTGTGTGCATTTCCCAAACAACAACGTAACTTGTGACTGAACTTATACTTACCATATACAATAGATTGTTTGGTAAAAGAACGATGTAGTAACCATTGTTTGAACCACGTTAGTTATAACGTAAAATGCCCATAATGATGCTCTAAACTGGGCGGAGTAACAACTTTCTTTGAGACGAACCCCATCATTTCTTTGTGCAAATTATATTGTTTTATACGCACACGCATTAAAAAATATACAATTTCTTGGTAAAACATGCACTCGCTTTCCATATTAATGGAAATATATGTAAATGGCACAAATAGGACCAATATTTCCTTTACAAATACATTCCTTTATGTATTGAGAACATTAAATATTCTATTCTAAAATATAAAATCACAAAAGCTAACAAGTAATCTATTCTCATATATAAAAAAATATTTATTATCGCTGGCAGCTAGCTCTCTGCAAGTCTCACATGGTCTCTCTCTGAAGCTAGGCAGGGCTGCACGTAGTCAGTACCTGGAAAGGAGACGATAGTTTGTTGCCCGAAATGGTGTTAGTGAGGCCAGCAGGGGACGTTCACCTTGCGGTCTTTGTGTGCCCTAATGTCCCAGTATAGTGATGGGGACTCTACTGCTCAGTGAGCGCCGTCTTTCGGATGAGATATTAAACCGAGGTCCTGACTCTCTGTGGTCGTGAAAAACCACAGATGTCCTTCGAAAAAGAGTAGGGATTTAACTCTGGCATCCTGTCTAAATTTGCCCACTGGCCTCTATCCATCATGGCCTCCTAACCATCCCCATATCATAATTAGCTTTATCACTTTGTCTCCTCTCCACCAATCAATCAGCTGGTGTGTGGTGTACGTTCTGGCGCAATATTGCTGCCGTTGCATCATCCAGGTGGATGCTGCAAACTGGTGGTGGATGAGGGAGATTTCCTCAATGTGTAAAGCGCTTTGAGTGTCTAGAAAAGCACTACCCATCTCTGGGAAAAATTCACACACACACTCTAATACACTACGGACACTTTAGCCTACCCAATTCACCTGTGACTTGAAACCGGAGCACCTGGAAGAAACCCATGCGAACGCAGAGAAAACAAGCAAACGGCACACAGAAACGCCAACTGACCCAGCCGAGGCTCGAACCAGCAACCTTCTTGCTGTGAAGCGATAGAACTACCTACTGCGCCACTGTATCGCCTCTACTAATACCAATTTTATTATTATTATTATTATTATTACTATTATTAAGTAGGATATAGTTTATTTATTTTTTGTTTTTTTTAAAAGTCTACTTTTACAATTTGACACATGCAAACCAAAGAAATGTTCAACAGGCCAATGTCATACAGTACAAATTCTTAATAAACAGCCCACTATAAATTAAAAGCATTAACGAATGCTATCTTTTGTTTTCTCAAGCTTTGGAGACGTAACATAAATTCTGCTTTTAAATATTTTTTTAATCATTCAAAATGACATCAAAGTTTTCAAATTGCACTGCGAAGGGAACGAACACAATTGTAAACATGAAGATCGCTAAAACTGAACTGTAAAAATACTTTGAAATCAAAATCTAAGAATGATGACTTTAATGTTTTTTTTTAATCATTCTAAGTTTAAATGTTAAAATGTTCTAAACAAATAGGGCATGGGGGGAAAACTAGAAATAGAACATAGCCAGGAACCAGAGGTGTAGTTGCAAATGTACAGGTTTGCGACGCAGTTTGCGAATGTTTATTTGAATGAAAGATTTGAGAAATGCCAAATCAGCGAGCTGTTTGTAATGATGGAAGTTGCAACCTTAATTGGCTAACTATGATTTTTGGAAATACACCCCTGCTGATAAAATCCAGAAACATCAGGACATTGTCTTTAAAAAAGCACTGTGAGGTGAAAAAAAAAAAAAAACATCAGATTTGAGTGGTCTTTAAACTTTTATCTTAAGTTGATTGAACTAAAACTGGGTTGCAATGGCAAAACTGCAGTTTGTAGGCTCCACACTGCTAACATTTTGGTGGAATTTTACTAAAACTTTTAACGCAACTAACTAACTAACTAACTAACTAACTAACTAACTAACTAAACAAGATCGTAAGGTTCCATAATGCAAATCACAGGATAAATAAATGGAAAACACCCGTGAATCACAAGCTGGGAGATGTTAACTAACTGTCTTCTTATCAATATCTATATTGCGTTTCCTTACATTTGGAAAACAAATACTTATAAAATTTCGAAGGAAGCCACTGACTTTATTTTACTAATTTGAATAATTACTAATTTAACATACCAAATAGGTAAACTTCTTTTCACATATTTTTCATTTAGATTTCTATTGATATTTATTAACAATACAAAATCGTTATTATACAACTTTGTTCATTTATTGCAAATAATGGAATAGATGAAAATTGTACTCTACAGTTTACCAAAGAAAATGCATTTAATGGATTTTTAGATGTTTGAAACAATAAAATGTTCAAGAAATAATATTTGTATACAAGATATGTCCATGACTTACAAGTTCACTGGTATTTATACGATAATTTACATAATTTAAAACTACTTAAACAGACAATAAATGTCACTTTCTTTTCAATTGTCAGAGCAAAGATCAAAGTAACACAATTTGAAATTGTTAATAAACAAAACAAACAAACAAAAATACACCATTGAATCACAAACTACTGAAAAATATTAATTAATTACATTTATGTAAATGATTAATAAAAAAGATTAATAAACTTTTTACAGTGTGGATAGATAGACAGACAGACAGACAGACAAACAGACAGACAGGTAGGTAGATAGACAGACAGACAGACAGACAGACAGACATTCACCTGTATGTTGTATTTAGTTCTGTATACACTCCTCATTGGCATGCCTAAACCACATAAGCAGCACTCGTTCATGTCACTGGCAATGGAGCAGCCCATACATGGGAGACAGAAAAGGCCACAACAACCTAAGAAAAATACATGGTTGACGTTATCTCCAAATTTAATCTTAGTTTTCATGATTTTGGAGACTTTATAGCTCACAATGTTGTAACAACATATTATGTTTAGTGCCAGTTGAAAGACTTACAAATGCTCATGTCTTCACAGCAGCTCATTAATCCGGTCTGAAACTCTTGAGGTCCAAATGCAGCGGGTTGAGATGTCACCTCCATGACCTATAAGGAAAGAAATTAGAGGAATATTTAGGTTAAATCATTTTTTGGCTGGCAAACTGCTCAAACTGATATCTTAAAGGGATGAACATTCACCATTCACTGTAAATGGCCAACACAAATTGATTGAGGTACCTTAATTGTCTTTACAAATTTAAGTGCATTGAACATAGAAAAATTAAGTTTACCAAAAAAACCTCAAGAACTGTGTTAATTCATCTCATTTTAAAGAAGTAGTTTGAACAAACAGCAAAAAAAAATTATATTTTTCTGAATGTTTACTCTAAAATTTTATGAAAAAAGAAAAAAACTTTTTTTTAACAGAAGAAACTCAAAAAGGTTTGGAACAAACTATAGATGTGTAAACGATTTTGGTTAATGCATTTTTAAAACTATCATTTAAATAGAGCAATTGTGCAATTGGTTTCACAAAGCTTACCTTTCGTGTTGTTGAGTTGGGCTATTCTCAAATTCTCTACACATTGAAATAGACAGGATGTCTATTAATACAGTCACAAAATCAGACACACCCTTTGAATGTCAATAAAAACGCTACGTGACAGCTTTTATTGTGGAAATATAAATTGCACTTCCTTTAGGTCCAAAGTTCTTAATGGTTTACAGCAACACAATTTCTTTCACACCTTCCAGCAATGATTCATGCCACATCGTTCATTCATCCTTGAGATATCCTCAGTTTACAAGACAGAGCAATGATATGACATTATTATAAATGCACAAACATATTAATAAGCTACAAAGCGCTTAATATCCTGTGATATTTTATCTTTTCTGACCACTCATCTTTTGCTTAGCTAGCCTGCATTTACAAAATGTTACCCTGGATTACAAAACCTTATGTGCGTCTTGTGTTGCACAAATTTGGCAGTTTCAGGTCAAAATTAGATTTTATTTGTCTTTTATCACAAAACGTTAAAAACATTAAGTAAAGATCATGTTCTATGAATATATTTGAAAATGTCCTAGTCTAAATGTAAGTACCAAAGAATTAAAATCTTTTAAATGAACACCTTATAAGGTATACTTTGTACACTGCAAGAAGTAGTTACTTAAAGCAAGTAAACCAATTGCCTCAAAAGCAACACGTTGACTTTACAACAATAATGTAAGTAAACTCTTGTAACTTGGAACTGTTAAGCTGACTTAGTTTTTATAATTATGGCTATTGAGACATCTCAGAAATAGGATATAAATATATATCACAGACAGTATTTTTATGAAAGATATTAGCAAAGAAAATAATTTTACAAAATTTGAAGTCAGCTTATTTGCCTGTCTTTGAAACCTGGATTAGGAGTTTAAGTTTGTTTAACAAACGAACAAAACATATTTTTAAAAATCTGGAACTCGATTATGTTTATGTCACTAATGCTGATTGTAACTCATTATAGCTGAGATTGGTTTGCATATGTCGAGTTGTGGAGCCTACACATATCTCTATAAATTATTTATTTTTTATATTTAATTCAATTTTTTTTTCTCCCTCTCATACTTTCTGAATGACAATGTAATATGTTGTGTCCAACTGTCTGTGTAATGTGAAATGCACTTTGTTAATTTTTTTCTTTTTGTTTGTTCTGTTTATGCTATTGCTTATTTTCTTATACTAAAAAAAAAAAAAAATCCAGCACGTTTTTACACAGCAGGTGCCCTTCCAACAGCAACCCATGTCTGGGAAACATTCCCCCACACACATTTACACTCGTACACTACGAACAATTTAGCCTACCCAATCCACCTGTACCACATGTCTTTGGACTGTGGGAGAAACCGGAGCACCCGGAGGAAACCCACGCAAAAGCAGGGGGAACATGCAAACTCCACACTGAAACGTCTACTGACCCAGCCGTGGCTCGACCTTCTTGTTGTGAGGTGACAGCACTACCTGCTACGCCACTATGTTGCCTTAAGTTTAAGCAACATAAATATTTGTTGTCTTGACTTTTTGTCATTTAACTTTTTACAGTTGATGTAAATCTTTAGATGTTTATGGTTTGTGTACAATTGAATCTGTAAAGTATTATTTTCCATGTTTTTGGTGGATGTATTAAATAAAAAAGCTACTTGTTTATCAAACGTGGTTCTAATTGATTGAATTTGCATTTTAAACTTTTAAAAGATAATATTATTATTTATTGAGTTTTTATTTGTTAACTCAACAAAGTTATGTTTTCAGCTCATCTATCAAAAGAGTGTTTTTACAAAATTCTGTGCAGAAACAACAAAAATTCCAAAGATTCTGTCTGGCTCTCACTGATCTGTCTGGTCCTCAGAAAAGCTAGGTGAGCGTTTCATGACCCTTTAAAGTTCACTTAAAAAAAGATATTGGTCACACTTTACAATAAGGTTCATAAGTTAATGTTAATTTATGCATTTACTAACATGAACAAATAATGAACAATACATTTACCACTGTATTTGTTCATGTTAGTTAACGTTAGTTAATGAAAATACAGTAGTTTATTGTTCAACAAGCATGGACTTGGATGTTAATAATGCATTAGTAAATGTTTGTTTATGATTAATAAATGCTGTACACGTGTTGTTAATGATTAGTTCATGTTAGTACATGTATTAACTAATGAACCTTATTGTAAAGTGTTACCAAGATATTTATTGAAGAATTCATGAAACAGTGAATCACATAAGAAGACCAAAGTGTCAAACAAAAGTCTTTATTGAAGGATTGAAACAAAAACAGAAAAGAAATACTTATGGGAGTTGGGGATGAGGCCTGTGTGTGTACCCAGGTGTGAGCATAATGTCTCACCCCTTTATGTTTTTGTTCTGCATTCATGACATTTACAAATACAAATGCTCCCTGTGGCATATATGCCTGTGTGTGTGTGTGTGTGTGTGTGTGTGTGTGTGTGTGTGTGTGTGTGTGTGTGTGTGTGTGTGTGTGTGTGTGTGTGTGTGTGTCTGTGTGTTTCTGTGTGTCTGTGTGTTTCTGTGTGTCTGTGTGTCTGTGTAATGTGAAATGCACTTTGTTAATTGTTTTCTTTTTGTTTGTTCTGTTTATGCTATTGCTTATTTTCTTATACTAAAAAAAAAAAAAATCCAGCACGTTTTTACACAGCAGGTGCCCTTCCAGCAGCAACCCATGTCTGGGAAACATTCCCCCACACACATTTACACTCGTACACTACGGACTATTTAGCCAATTTAGTGTGTGTGTTTGTGTGTGTGTGTTTGTTTGTTTGTTTGTGTGTTTGTTTGTGTGAATTTGTGTGTGCAAGCATGAATTTTCTATATTACATTTGTGCTTTTACCAGGTCCACATTTCTGTTTGGAAATATTTAGATTTATGCTGGATTTATTGATTTTTTTGACAAATGATCCCCCCATTCATTTCAATATCAAATACCAGAAATGTAAAAAAAAAAAAGTTATGTAAATATAAATAGATGATAAAAAGACACACAATCTTGTTTCAATAAGATGAAAGAATCTATTTGTGTGTTTCTTCAAGGAAAACTTAATAGGGATCGGGGCAGCATGGTTGCTCAGTGGTTAGCACTGTCGCCTCACAGCAAGAAGGTTGCTGGTTTGAGTCCTGGGCCAGTTATTTCTGTGTTTCCCTATGTTCATGTGGGTTTCCTTTGGATGCTCCGGTTTCCCCCACAGTCCAAAGACATGTCGTAAACGTGAATTGAAATAATAAAATTGTGGATTGTGTAAATGTGATAGTGTAATGGGTTGTGGCTAGAAGAGCATCCAATGTGTAAAACAGGATAGCTGGTGGTTCATTCCGCTGTGACAAGCCCTGATAAATAAGAGACTAAGCAGAAGGAAATGATTGGGATCATATAGACCCTGAGATCAAATGATGGATTAATAATTTGTTAGAATAATTATAGCAGTTATCAGTGAAGGCCAGCAATAAGGAAAACACTCCTGGATTACATAATAATGGAATTTTGCTCACGTCACAGTCAGACAGCTGTGGTGCAGATTACTGGATATGTACGATACTGTGTCAGGAAGAGTTTATAGCTTTACTGTCTATCATTCGAACGAGGTCAGTGACCAACTACAGCACAGTGTTGCCACATTCCTGCAATATAAAGCAGCATAGGCCTGCTTGAAAAATATGCAAATTTAGCATATTTCTGACATCATCGTATTGTACCAGCAACTTTTACTATTTACAGTCTACATTCACAAATTGTTCTCATTCACTGCCAGTCTGCTGTTCTGCACTACAAAAATCCAGGGTGACAAATATCATTGTCATCGAGTGACCATCAAATGTATTTTATTATGTTATGGGCTGTCTGATTTTCATTGTATTGATGTACACTTAACAAATGATGATAATTGGTATGCTATTTCTCTGTGAAATAATGTTTTGAATATGAAGGTAAATTGTCCTTATGTGGTTAATCATGGTATAATGAAATGAAAATGAGAATCAATTTTTTTTTTTGATCATCGAGTGGCTGTCTAACTAATGAGGCACTGTAATTGACTATGGGATAAAAAGGTAGAGTGAGCGGATTGTATCACACACTGAAGAAGGCATTGTGCGAGCGCGCAGGAAAAACTTCATTACTCTGACATATATCATCTGAAAAAATTTTAATGCTAAAGAAAAAAAAAAGAAATATTGTTTTATATATTGTATTATGCAAAATTTTTGGCAAAATGGTGAATATAAGGTTATGTAAGAAAATATAGTAAGGTTCTTTGATAAAATGCAAGATTCCACACAATTCCTTTATGTCGTCTCAGCATAAATCGATTAAGTTAACTTAAAACTTTTAACTAATTTATGTGGATTGAACATAATAAAATTAAGTTGTCCCAATAAAATCTCAAGAATTGTGTTGTTTTAACTCATTTTGAATAAGTAGTTTAAACAAGCAAAAAATATATTTTTTGAGTGTACAGGGAAATGTTGCCACAGCATAGAGGCATAAAATAGGAACAAAATCTTTATGCACGTGAGATTTTTGCATTGTGAAGCTAATCGCTAGTCTTTCTGATAAAAATATTAACAATTTCATATAAACCCATATCTCTTTTTTTATCAAGTGAGTAAACATTTGGTTGTCAGCCTAAGGGGATAATTTTTGGTCCATCTAACACCTCAACCCAGTTGTTTTTTATAATAATAAAAAATTGCAACATAGGCTCATTCTGAAAATGTAGCCTGTTTCTGGAGGCCGGGACTTATGTAGCCAAAGGTACGTATGACTTTATTTTATTTTTTTAATGAACCCCTGCGACGTATTTCACAGTCTCCAGAAATGTATATAGAGGAACATTTTCAGAATGAGCCTGGGTCAAAAAAAAAAACTGTCTAAATATTCAGACATGCCTACTGCATTTAAGTTTTTGTGTAGCACGTCTGGTATGGAGATCTTCCTTTTAAAAGAACTGAAACAAATCATTTCAAATAATATTTAAAACTGAATGAGAGGAAAGTTTTCCTTTTCTGTTTTATTATTATTATTATTTTTAGCTTTAATTAAAATCAAACTGTATAATAATTTGACTATTTCTACTAGCCAATAGATAAGGCGAAAGCTCATTTGAGTTTTGTCCCTCCAGATAATTTTCAGTTTGCTGTGAAAAGAATCTATAGATTTTGGGATTATTCATGACACATTTGTCGACCATGTTGCTACAGCTCTGTTCGCCTTTGTCTTCTCTTCTACGTCAGATCATCAGGGTGTGTGTTTACTATGGGCAGTACAGCGTATGGCTGTTAGTCAAGTCAGCACCGCAACACACCATCATTTTATTGCATGTAGTAAACACACACCCTGATCTGAAAAGGGTGACATGGGAGTACAAATTTGTACAGTTTTTTTTTTTTTTTTTTTGCTGCTGCACAAAAAGTATTCTGATATGGGTGACATCGGAGAACAAAGTTGTTTGTACAGTTTTTTTTTTTTTTGCACAAAAGTGTTCTTGGAGGAGCTTCGTTTGATTAAAGTTGAACAACTTGGAATATTTTGATGATGTTTTTGGTTCCTTTTAGGGACTTTGAACGTCTCAGGACCATTGCTGTATATGGAGCAAGTAAGCTCCTGGGTTTCGTCTAAAATATCTTAATTTATGTCCTGAAGAGAAGCAAGGTCTAAGTAGTTTGAAACAACATGAGGACAAGTAATTAATAACAGAATTGACAATTTTGAATGAATCCTTCAAGGAGTATGTAGCACGGCTTGCTAAAGTTTGAGGTCAATTTCCTGTTGTTTGTTATTTAAGGACCAAAAAAGCATGTTTGACACTCATTTCACACAGTGCAACAGAATTAGTCTTCATTACAACACATCAGTACAACAAACTGGGCTCAGGAAAAAAAACACAGAGCAAACACAATCACATTCATGAAATATTTATTAGTTAGATTGAGTGATGGGTGGTTCATTCTACTGTCGACCCCTGATGAAGCAGGGACTGAGATTGGAAGAGTTTAGCAAAAAAAAAAAAAAAACGTGTCAAAATGTTAACAGACAATGCACAGACATAACACACTGCAACTCTGCAATGCTATACACTTCTTGGAAAATGTGAAAATTTATTTAAAGTACATTTAAATAATAATGACAATATAACTTTGAATGAACAGTTTCCAAATAGGAAAATTACGAACTGCATGCACAAATACTGTACAATGTATTTTACTTAGCTGAATTAAACTCTTCCTTACTTATCAAATGACTGACCCCTTCATCTTTCTTTGATCTCATATTTTCTAGAGCAGCATTTAAGTACTTATTAGTTAAAAATTGTAGTGCTCTTTTCCAGTTTTCATAATTTCAGCGTGCCGTTACTCTTTCTAATGTCGATGTCTCTCTTAAGCTGACAGGCCGCACAGGTAAAGCAGAAGGTAGTGGCAGCCCAGTCATTGCACATGGATCCCTGAAAAAAAGCAAATGCAGTTCAAACACAACTGTAAGTATTAGACGATTTCTTTCTATTAAAGCTATAAAGATACTAACCTCTATGTTGTATTTAGTTCTGTATACACTCCTCATCGGCATGCCTAAACCGCACAAGCAGCACTCGTTCATGTCACTGGCGATGGAACAGCCCATACACGGGAGACAGAAAAGGCCACAACAACCTAAGAAAAAATACAGGATTGATTCACCGGGATAGACTGATGTATATCTTCATCCATCCATCCATCCATCCATCCATCTTTGTGTACAAACTGGATATATTTATGTTTATGTCACAGTCACTGCCATAAGCACCCAATACCATAACAATTCCAATGTGATTTTAGGCTTAAGACAAATAAGCTTAGATAATAATGAAGAATTAACCAGAATATACGTTGTGTATAATTTACTGCCATTATGTCAAAAAACAAAACTAACTTTAACAAGATCTCAATTATTTTAAAAAATAGTATTCTTGCAAAATCTGCTTTTTAAAATTTTGATTATGTCGTCCAGATTGCATTCAGTCAGTTACAGTTACTGTTTTGATGATAACAACTGGAAGTTTGGGCAAATTTTGCCATTTTTAATTGGAAATATTATTTTATTCATTTTTCTTCAGTTTAGTCCCTGATTTATCAGGGATCGCCACTGAGGAATGAACCGCCAACTATTCTAGCATATGTTTTACACAGCGAATGCCCATCCAGATGCATTTCAGTACTGGGAAACACCCATACACTCTCTCATTCACACACACACACACACACTTACACAGTACGGCCAATTTAGTTGATCTATAAACTGAAAATATTTTCATATTGAAATTGACCTTATTCAGGAACGACTAATCCATTTGTGTTAATGACAGGAATCACTTACATACGCCCACGTCATCACAGCAGCTCATCAAGCCTGAGTGAAATTCTTGGGGATGAAACGCCGACGGTTGAGATGTCACCTCCATGATCTACAACAGGTAAAGAAATCCATGAATAACTCACGCACTGTGCTTCAGCTGAGTGTCTAATTTATCAGGGATCACCACAGCGGAACGAACCATCAATTACTCTGGCATATGTGTTATATGGTGGATGCCTTTCTACCCATCTCTTATTCACACACATACACTATGGACAATTTGGTTTATCTAATTCACTTATACATGTTGTAGCTTTTATTTTATATAAATAGCATTAAAGGGACAGTTCACCAAAAAAAGGTAGATTCTGTCATCATTTAATCATCCTCCTCTTGTTTTAAACCCTTTTTTCCTCTGTTGAACAAAAAGGAAGATGTGCTGAAGAATGCTGGAAGAAAGCAGCCATTGACTTCCATTGTATTTTTGATTCATACTATGGATGTCAATGGCTCCTTTTTTCCAGCATTCTTCAGAACGTCTTGTTTTGTGCTCAACAGACATTTCCAACAACTTGAGTGTGAGTAAATGATGAGGAAAATGTCATTTTTGGGTGAACTATTGCTTTAAATGCTATGTACATATATTTGAATTAGTCATTTGATACAATGCATTTATTGTGTACAAATGTTATACATTTTAAAAATACCAGATACACTCTCAGAAATAAAGGTACAGGAGATGTCAATGGGGCAGTACCTTTTCAAAAGATATATATTGTTCCTAAAGAGACCACATTGGTACTTCAATTAGTTCAAAATGTACCAATATGGTCCATTGAGGTTCCAATATGGTCTCTTTTAGTATAAATATGTACCTTTTGAGAAGGCAGCGCACCAGTGACAGCTCCTGTACCTTTATTTCTGAGAGTGTAGCAATTACATCTGTAATTAATTTCCGTTATTACATTTATATCTACCACCTAGCCTAACCCATATCCCACCTTAATGGTGTTATTTGTGTTTTACAATTCAACATAAACACAGTAATAACATTGTCTTTATTTTTAAGCATACATATATTGTAAAAAAAAATATTGCTGCCTTAAATGTTTGTTTTATCAACTTAACTTTTCTAGTCATCTCATCAACAATTGATCAAACTGACTAAAATATTAAGTTAAACTTTGTATACTGTAACTAAACAAAATGAATTGAAACCTGCTAACTTAATAATCATAATATTGTGATATAAGGTTTTAAAGTGAAGTTAAGTTAAGATTTCTAAATCTTAAGTTGATAACTGATAATAGTAAGTTTCCGCTTACCTGTTTTTTTTTTTTTGCGTCAGATATTCCTCTGTGGACTGAAACATGAACAAGATGCGTATTATATGGGGTCTGAAAGGTCACGTGTTCAGACCCACCCTTAGAAATAGGGATAAAGGTCAATTACTGCCTTTTTGTCATAATAATTAATGTCCTCCTTTTAGGTTCAAGGTCCTCTAATGCTAGTTGTGGCAAACGGTTGAAACAGCCCACAAACATATTTTTTTCCAGGAATTTGCTGCTTGCTGCCACACCTCATATGTGTCAACATTTTTGATGAGGAACAATAAATACAATCAGATAACAGTTAAACTGAAGTTTTCAAAGGACGGACTGAGTGATTAAGGATACTAATTAGCTGACTATTCTGAATATGAAACAGTTTTTTGACTAACATAAAGATTTTTTTTAATAAAAGCAGCAGTAGACTTATAACACATTTTTGGTTTTTGTTTGTTCAGCAATTTAAAGCCCAGTAGTGATTTACTGCTGGCTAGCTTAAAGATTGTTGCCACGAGTATAGCTGCTACTGACGACTTTTATGACTTTTATGATTAAACACACTAAAGTCAAGCTGCTATTAGGATGGCTTGGCTATTAATAACCGATTGCAGCAATACTATTAAAGAAAAGTGATATTGTATTAATACATTTAAAACACAAATGTTGTAACAAAATGTAATAAAATGCACATGGTCAGTCCTGAAATCTTTATTTTTTAGTTTTTTTAACAATTAAAAACATCCTATGACTAAAAATGACAAGTAAAAGGCAAATACTTTTTCA